GAACAATGAGGCTCGTCGCTGGGATGCCACTGTTTGACGAGATGATGACTCAAATGCCTGTAACGATATTCGCCCGATTGTGCTTGAGATACTTTGGGTTTTGGGAAAAGCTTGAGACCCGCGTTAGGTGTATAATACTGGGCAGGATACCAGTCCATGATATAGTATAGGACGTTATTAATTCATACGGTACTATATCTGCCTGTAGGTGCGACTTGAGTAAAATGTGAATTCCTCGCGCCCGGTACGGAGTACTTGGGTCCTATTCTGCGACACGTCTCCAACCTTTCTACGTCACCGAGGCGACCTGCATCCCGACGACGTTTTGGATAGACCACGATGAGGAACTGCTGCTAGAACCCCGAGCTGTTGGGCTTCTAGCATGGGCACTCACAGTTATCGAGACGAGTATCTGAGGTGAGCGGCGATGGCGCTCACCAGCTGGAAAGCCTTCCCTTTCTTCAGTGTCTCGCAAGTTCCAGTGCCCGCAGACGAAGACGGCTCATACATATTCGACGTAAGTCATGCAGCCCCTTCTACAGTGCTACGGCTCATGCTTCATGGCAGGACGTGGTGTCTCTCACTACAGGGGCTGATTCTCTCTTCCTTGGATCCTCCGATGGATCAGTGCGCGTTCTATCGCGCGCCCTGAAGGTCACCCGCACCTTTCAAGCTTCTGACGCCGCAGACGCTTCGGTCACCCACCTGAGACAGATTCCTGATACGTCCTTCCTCGTCACGATTTCCGAGAACCTCTCATCGGACCCGTCGCTAAAGGTCTGGGCATTGGACAAGCTGGAAAAGAAGACAGGCGCGCCGCGTTGTTTATGTACAATCGCTGTGCAGAATGGCAGACGGCAGTTTCCTGTCTCAGCTCTAGTCGTCCTGGAAGACTTGACGCAAGTGGCCGTGGGCTTCGCTAACGGCTCTGTCACAGTCATTCGAGGCGACTTCGTCCATGACCGCGGAACAAAGCAGAGGACAGTGTTCGAATCGGAGGATCCAGTCACTGGATTGGAGGTACGCCAGGGCACGACCAAGGTGCTGTATATCGCGAACACATCGAAGATATGCAGTCTCATAATATCTGGAAAGGGCCAGGGCCAACCGGTCAAGACGGTAGATAACCGAGGGTGCAATGTTGGCTGTATGACCTACGGCCGTGAGACCGAAGATGTCGTGATCGCTCGAGAGGACGCGATCTATTATTATGGCGCAAACGGGCGCGGTCCGAGCTACGCGTTCGAAGGTCCTAAGAAATGTGTCACGATCTACAAGGATTATGTCGGTGTCGTCTGTCCACCGCGAGTTGCGCAAGTCTCCAAATCCAAGACGTTCAGAAGGTTGGGTGGCGAAGAAATCGATGAGATGTTCACCAGCTCGTCATTCACGCTACTCGATACCGACCTCAAATACGTTGCTCACACGGAATCACTCCCTTCTCAGGTCAAAGAGGTCTTTGCGCAATGGAACGAGCTCTTCTTGTTGACTGTGGAGGGTAAGCTCTACAAATACCAGGAGAAGACACTCCAACAGAAACTGGAGATCCTGTATCAGCGTAACCTGTACATTTACGCCATCAACCTTGCACAGAAGTCTGGTGCCGACAAAATGCAGCAGAATATCATTTTCAGGAAATATGGCGACTACCTATATCAAAAGGGTGACTATGACACGGCCATGCAACAGTACTTGCGGGCCATCGACAACACCGAGCCTTCGCAAGTCATTAGACGGTTTCTGGACACGCAAAGAATTCACAATTTGATCGACTATCTGGAAGAATTGCACGACCACGATCGAGCGACGGCGGACCACACAACACTGTTGTTGAATTGTTATGCGAAACTCAAAGACACGGAAAAGCTAGACGCCTTCATTCGGACGCCAGGGACCGCGAAATTCGACGTGGAAACAGCGATAGCAATGTGTCGCCAGGGCGGCTATTTCGATCAGGCTGCTTATCTGGCGACCAAGCATGGCGAAAACGAACTGGTCATCGATATATTGGTGGAAGACTCCAAGAAATACGCCGAGGCCCTACAGTACATTTGGCGATTGGAACCCGCCGCAGCATACCCAGTGCTGATGAAGTATTCCCGCAGCCTTCTGGAACATTGCCCAGAAGAGACTACAAAACTCTTCATCGAGTACTACACAGGTAAATATGCCCCAAGGAAAGATGTTCCGGCTGTATCGGAGGTGCAGGCACAGACGGGAGGAGGAGCATTCCAGAGCCTGTCTGCGCTCTGGACATTACCTTTCATGAATAGATCTGCTACGACCGACGCTCTAGAAGCCCCCGAACAAGACAATGCCGCTGCTGCCGACGACGAAGATCAGACACCAAGGTACACCAAACCGCGACCAAGGAGTGCGTTCTCTTCCTTTCTTGCACACCCATCCGAGTTCATTACATTTCTCGAGGCTTTGATCCTCCAGGAGAACCTTCCGAAGGAGGATAAAACAGATCTGTCCACGACGTTATTCGAGATGTATCTTGAGGCGGCGAACAATGCAACAGGCGCTGCGGAGAAAGAGAAATGGCAGCTCAAAGCGACCAGCTTGATTGCTGACAACAAGACAGCATCTCTGGATTCCACGTCGATCGACACCTCAAACGTCTTGCTTCTATCGTCGCTCTCCAAGTTTCCAGCTGGAACGACTTTGGTTCGAGAACGCGAAGATCTCTACGCGGACATCTTCCGTTCTTTCACTTCCGCAAAGGACACATCAGGCGCTATTTCAGCACTGAGGAAGTATGGATCAAAAGATCCGTCTTTGTACCCCCTTGCGCTCGGTTATTTCTCGTCTTCGGAAGAGGTACTAAAGGCGCCCGGGGTCAAGGAAGAACTGCAGACCGTCCTCCGAAGGATTGATCAGGAGAATCTCATGGCGCCCCTCCAAGTCGTCAAGGTTCTGTCGCAAGGAGGTGCTGTCACAATGGGCCTGGTCAAGGGGTACCTCTCCGACAATATCTCTCGAGAGCGGAAAGAAATCCAGGCAAACCGGCGATTAATTGAGTCATACCGTACCGAGACTGCCTCGAAAAAAGCGGAGCTGGCAGACCTTGGCACAAAGCCTGTCGTGTTTCAAGCCCGCCGGTGTTCGTCATGCAACCGGAACCTCACCCTGCCCATGGTTCACTTCATGTGCAAACACTCGTTCCATCAGGAGTGCTTGAACAAGCCGGAAATCGGCATGGACGAGAATGACGCCAAGGTCGAATGCCCACTCTGCAAGCCCGGGAATGACACTATTCGCGCGATCCGGCGGCAGCAGGTTGAAAGCACCGAGCAACACGAGTTATTCAAGGCTGCGTTGTTTCGAAGCAATAATCGCTTTGGTACCGTGAGCGAGTTCTTCGGTAGAGGGGTCATGGCCACAGCTCCTGCCACGGATTAAAAGAGTGCTCAGCAGAGACACGTCTATCAAGTGCACAGCCTCGCCTTGATAACCATAATCGCAGCGCTGCAGGGACATGATCAGAGTGTGTATCTCAAACTACTTTTGGGCTGGATTCAGGAAGACCTATATCCGGGCTGTGGAGACAGCAAGCCGGAGAATTTCCAAGCCAGGATGTCAGGCCCCAAGGGTGTCGCACTTTTGTGCGATCGGAAGGCTCCAAATCCGAACCCTTGTCAGACAGTCTGAGACCCAACTTTCAGCCGCATCCAGCTGTACACAGGACGAGTATGTACTCGCATGCTATGGTCGCAGCAATCCTACCTCACTGCATGCATGAGATCACTGTGCCGGGACGTGGGTGACGGCACTTCCCGCCCATGCTTTGATTGCGACTCAAGCTCGTGAGCAAAGGTCGTCGTTTCTATTTGTAGCGTTTAGGGCTGCGTTGATGCGAGACTAGGCGTGTTTGTTGACGCCGCTTGGTGGGGAGTCCAGGAGCGGGGAGGAAATGAATGCATGAGGGGTCGAATACAGCATGACATGCGGCAGAGCAGCTGGAGGAGTTGAATCATTCGAGTTGTTGTGGCCGTTAGCCGAACAGAATACCCGATACGAGCTGCAAGCAGTACGCGGCCCGGCGTGAAGCAGATTCATGTGGAGGTAAACTCCGTAGGAGTCAGTGTGAGATGATGCGTCGCGCCGTGAAAGTTGCCCAGCATGGACTCTGCGTTTCAGCAGTGATGACGCGATAGCGCGCAAAGAGGAAGTGTGTCTTCTGCCTGGTCAAGCGCGCGTCCGTATGCCGGCTGTGCTGTGTACCTGTACCTTCTGTGAGGGTACCCCAGGGTGTTGTGCTTTGCGCTGCCGGTTGCCTCTCAGCACGAGCGATCAGCGTGTCGAGGACGAGGATCGCCAGTGCCGGTGGCAGTTTCACCATTTCGGGTTGTTGTTCCTCTACGCCACGTTGACTCCTCAGCGGACTAGACAAAACTTGAATCAGGTCCTGATATTCATTGCTATCACCGTTGTGTATACCATCGCGTCGGGTGCAATGAGCGCTCGACCATCATAGAGTGGCGGTACAGCATCTTTGGGCCACTGAAAATTGCAAGCAGTGGGCGTAGTCCAACGGCGGCGGCGCTGATTGATTTATCCGGGTGAGAGTCCACTGAGCAACGGCGCCCAACGAAGACGCTCGACGCCCGACGCCCGGAGTGCTGAGTTGGGTATCCACCATCCCACTGCACTTACTCACCACTGACTGCATGTTTTGCCCTCACTAACACTACTACTACAAACTTAGCCATCATCACACAGTCCGTGACGCTGCCTATCGCCATATTTTGTAGCGGCGTCAGACACCTGCATTGACACTTGTCGTCCTTGCTCAACCTGCCATTGCCATATCCATCCGCTTCTCTTCGACCAGATTCTTCCTACTGATTTCCCTCGCCAACCAATGCCCCTCCAGTGCCGACACGATCCCCTCCGACTTGGCCCATGACATTGCACGCCTGTTCGGTCTGAAGGCGCAGCTGGCATAATACCACCGGTCTCTCGCCCTTCCCTTCCACTGTCTCCCCGCCGCAACCATGGCGGATGCCGACCAAGCCATCGCCGAGGTCTATCGCAAGATCGAGCGAGAGAAGGCCCTTATCAATGCCGCCACCCACATGCGACAGTCGACAAACAATTCCGCAGTTCAGGCACGTGTCGACAGTAACATCCGCGACAGCAGAAGAAACATATCTTACCTCGAGGAGAAGTTGGCAGAGTTACAGTTGAGACAGCGGGGCCCTAATGAGAGTGTCGCTCCAGCCCCGCCTGCTCATGGCGCTTCCGGCTACCAGACTTCCGCAGATCCTCGACTGCAGCAGTCAAGATATCAGCACGGAGGTGCTCCAACTCCTCCCCCAAAGGATGAGAGGGGCTATTACAACAATGAGAGAGGCGACTATGGTGATCCCGGCCCAGGCGGGTACAGTCAGGGCGGCACTGGCATGATGCCCCCTCGAGCACCGTACGGAGATCCTCGTCCTTACAATGCTCCCGTCCCCAAGGCGCGGCCAAATTTCTCAAAACTAGGTATGCAGCTCGGGACGGCCGTGCCAAAGCGAATCATGCTGACTGTTCCTGCCAGACCTCATAAAATACGATACCCCGTATTTAGGACCTAAGATCCAGCTTATGCTTTCCCAGCTCGAGTTCAAATTGTCGGTTGAAAAGCAGTATAAGGCGGGCATCGAAAAGATGGTGCGGTTATATCAAGACGAGGGTGACAGAAAGAGCAGGCTTGATGCAGAGGGTCGGCGCATTGAGAGCAACCAGAAGGTGCAATTGCTCAAACAGGCTCTAAAACGATATATGGACTTGCATGTCGACATTGAAACGTCTGATGCTGCAGATGGTGAGTGGATTACCTTTCGGCGCTCATGGTGGACGTACACCTGACTTGTGTTCAGATGACAGTCTAAACGCTCCGAACATGCGGAAACCCCTCACGGGTCACCTCGAAATGCGCATTCATGCGATCAAGGATGTGGATCACGCTGCCTCGTCACGGTTTTCGAGAGGTCCTGAAACATTTGTCATCATGAAAGTCGAGGACAACATCCGGGCCAAGACCCGGGCAACACGAACTGATAAATGGACTGAAGAAACTCATCACGTCGATATCGACAAAGCCAATGAGATCGAACTAACCGTCTACGATAAAGCTGGTGACCGCCCGACGCCCATTGGCTTCCTCTGGATTCGCATTTCGGATATCGCGGAAGAAATGCGCCGGAAAAAGATTGAGTCGGAATTCCAGCAGAACGGATGGGTATCAGCAGATAAGATGGCTAATGGTGGAAGCCCGAGCAAACCAGGTCCTGATTTCCAGCAGCCTGCTCCGTTTATGCCTCCGGGAGATGCCGCTGGTGCTGGTTCCGCGTCTGGGTTTGCTCAAAATCCCCAGCAACACATCCAACCTGTTATGATCGATTCATGGTTCTCTCTGGAACCTGCAGGGAGAATCCACCTCACCATGAGCTTTCAGAAACAGACGGGCGGCAAACGTCCCTTCGATATTGGCCTCAACCGCCAAGGTGCTGTCCGCCAGAAGAAGGAAGAGGTGCACGAGAAACAAGGCCACAAATTCGTCAAGCAGCAATTCTACAATGTTATGAGGTGCGCACTGTGTGGAGATTTCCTCAAATACTCTGCGGGAATGCAGTGTGCGGACTGCAAATACACCTGTCACACCAAATGCTACCCGAAGGTCGTCACGAAATGCATTAGCAAGGCAAACTACGAGACGGATCCGGACGAGGAGAAGATCAACCACCGCATTCCGCATCGCTTCGACAATTTCTCCAACATTGGTGCAAATTGGTGTTGTCATTGTGGTTATCTGTTGCCGTTGGGCAGGCGCAACGCGAAGAAATGCTCCGAGTGCGGTCTTACCTGCCATACGCAATGTCAACATCTAGTCCCGGACTTCTGCGGCATGTCCATGATCGTCGCCAATGAGATCCTGGAGACCATCCAAAGAACAAAGCATCACAACAAATCATCGTCCGTGAGTTCTGGTATGAGCAATAGGACGCTGAGACCCCAGTCCGCAGCAAGGCCAGGACCGACATCACCCACACAGAGCTTCATTAGCGACAGCGCCACGTTGACACCACAGGTGTCGAATCAATCGTATGACCACCATCAGGAACCACACAAGCCGTCCGCCGCAGCTATGAGCGCGGCTCAAAATATGATGTACAGCCAACCTCAAGCAAATCAGTCACAGCAACAGCAGAGGCCTCTACAGCAAAGAGCCGTGTCTACCGCAGCTGTGCAGGCAGCGGCGGCCGCTACCAACCGACCTCCATCCCAGCAATACAATCAGAACTTCAGTGATTACAGCCCCCAGAAAGCGCCCGCTGATCGGTACGCCAATGCTCGGCCACCGGCGCCCGAGCAGACCCATGCCTCCTATGATCCCCGTGCCTATCAACAATACGACCGTCAGCCAGCTCCACCACAGATACCCCAACATCAAGCACCCCAGCAGGCTATCCTCTCACCGCAAAGACCTCCGCCACAACAGCAACCAGCGAGCTATGCACCGGCCCCTGTCAAACCTGCTCCAGCGTCACAACAACAGGTCGCTTCGCCACCATCCGGTCGTGGAGCAGGACCCAGGATTGGTCTTGATCACTTTAACTTCCTCGCCGTGCTGGGAAAGGGCAACTTCGGCAAGGTCATGCTTGCAGAGGCTAAGAGCTCCAAGAAGTTGTATGCCATCAAGGTCTTGAAGAAGGAGTTCATCATTGAAAATGAGGAGGTAGAGTCAACAAAATCCGAAAAGCGCGTCTTCCTGATCGCCAACAAGGAACGACATCCTTTCCTGCTCAACCTACACGCTTGCTTCCAGACAGAGACGCGAGTCTATTTCGTCATGGAGTACATCTCCGGTGGAGATCTTATGTTACATATTCAGCGCGGACAATTTGGACTTAAGCGTGCTCAGTTCTATGCTGCTGAGGTGTGCCTGGCGCTCAAGTATTTCCACGAGAATGGTGTCATTTATCGGGACTTGAAGTTGGACAATATTCTGCTGACACTGGACGGGCACATCAAGATTGCCGATTATGGTCTCTGCAAGGAGGACATGTGGTACGGTTCGACGACGTCCACCTTCTGTGGCACACCGGAATTCATGGCTCCTGAGATTCTTCTGGACAAGAAGTACGGTCGTGCGGTGGACTGGTGGGCTTTTGGCGTTCTAATCTACCAGATGTTGCTACAACAGTCGCCGTTCCGAGGAGAAGACGAAGATGAAATCTACGACGCCATCCTTGCGGACGAGCCGCTTTACCCGATCCATATGCCCCGAGACAGTGTGTCGATCTTGCAGAAGTTGCTGACGAGGGAGCCGGAGTTACGACTTGGTAGTGGGCCGGGCGACGCGCAGGAGATCATGAGCCATGCGTTCTTCAAGGGTGTGAACTGGGACGACATCTACCACAAGCGGGTACCGACACCATTCAAGCCCTCGATCAAGAACGAGAAGGATACCAGCAACTTCGATCAGGAGTTCACGAGTGTCACACCGGTGTTAACCCCGGTTCAGAGTGGTAAGACGAACAAGGGTTTTGTGATTCGCAACGTGCTAACATGTCCTCTGCAGTGCTTTCTCCCGCTCATCAGGAAGAGTTCAGAGGCTTTTCTTACACGGCCGATTTCATCTAGGAGAGGATTGAGTGGCAAATTCTCCGACGGTTGCCAAGCCGCAGCAACACCGGGGACGAGCTTGAGTCCGATAATGAGTTGTCTGAGGACAATATCCATAGCCAGTGGGCGGACGTCGGACTCTTCGGGGAAGTCTTCGAATCCTCAATTCAATCGAATGCGTCTCTACACCCTGTCTTAGACCTCAAGGGAGAGTGCCGGAAGACGCCAACTGAGCAGGCGGGAAGCGAGAGTGAGTGCGAGGTCGACATCGGCATGGCACGGCCCTTTCCGTCCCCGTACCAGGGCTGCCGAAAACAGTCGAATGTTCCAAGCTCTCTGCTTTACAGGTCAGCATCCGAGGTCTTGGTTGCGATCATGGTCCGGACCAGCCGCATACCTGTTGGTGTCCTGCTGCTGAGAATGCGAAGTTCACGTGAGCACGACTGTCATGCCGCTGGCGGGTTGAATTGAGACGAGATCCAGTACACGCGTGCTTTCTGGCATGAAGACGAAAACGAACGAACGAAGCACATGAGGCGAGGGGGCATGGCATGATGATGAATGGCAGCAGAGGGAGAGAGAGCATTGGGATGCAAAGATTGGATGAAGCAAAAATAATGCTCGCACTAGGCCATACGTGGGCTAGTCAGATGTGAACCGGCCGTAGAGTTGGCCCGCGGATGAAATTCATTTCACTTGACCTTTTGACTCCCGAAAATCTGAGATGTTCTACCTTATCCTCGATTGATCGCTGGTATTAACTTATGGCGCAGAGTAACCTCTACACATGTAGCAGCTGCTTTGCGAGGTCGTCGTGCAGGCGTCCGGCTACGAGGCGGCTTCACCAGGCTGGCGCTGTTCCGCATAGCATTCAACCTGAGCTTTCAACTCCTCGCTTATGGAATACAGTATTCCATGCGATCCTTGGGACCTTGCACACAAATGGCATCCCTTGCCACAGAACGTTATGCGATCTGATTTGCTCAGAATGTCAAGTGAGCGAGCAAGAATATCCGCCCTGGTTGACACATGCTAACACTGATTACAACGCTTTCAGATCCGATTGGCATCCTTACCGTATGTACTAAACTAGTCGAAATCCTGTGTCCTCTGCCCGTACCAATTCTTGATTGGAGATCGCGGCGAAATCCCCAGACCGGTCCCAGTGGTGCTCGTGCTTGCTCTCCTCCTCCCACCATTATTACTCCTCGCAGCTTCCGTGCCCGCCCGACGGATCCTCTTCCATTCCATTGCCGCTTCCTGAAATATGCCTGTGTCCGGGAAGAGCGCGACCCCCATTTGGATCAGCTCGACGTGGGAGCTGCTCGTGGATTTCGCCCCCGGTCCGACCTCCTCGATTCTGCGAAAGATCTTCGGACTTACAAACAGTGGTTCAGGGACAATCTCTGACCCCAGAGACGCCACGGACTGGTCAGTCGCGTTGCTGATCTCATATTCCTCACTCGAACTCAGATATTCCTTCCAGCCTTCCCGCTCCTTCATCAAGGATGGAGTGGAGTCAACATGCACTGGTGATTGATCCCGCTCTGCTTCTTGGCCCAGGGCAAATGCATCAGTGAGCAACGCCCTCAAGTCATGTCTAAACGAGCCCACCTGTGCGTCATCTAGCAATGGCTCCAAAGGACCAACGACTCTTGCCTCGACCACGTCCCCTATTATGCGCCCGACATCCGTGTTTTCGTCAAGCCGATCCAGTACCCTCAATGTGGACACTCTCCAATTATGCTGGAATTCCGCCCCTTCAAGCCCAAGACGCGAGTATATCTCCATGAGAGTCGTGGACCTGTCTTTCGTCTTCCCCCACAGATACTGGGAGAAGAATGGCTGCCACACGGACTTGAGTATCGCATCAAATATGACGTGTTGGGAGATGGCCAGCCGGAGATCCTGGGAGCAGGGAGAGTTTGCAATAGGTACTTTCTCGAGAATTGGCAACGTCCGTTTCAGACTCTTTGATGTCTCGACCGGGTCCTGTACGCTCGAGGTATGAGCAGCTTGGTCAAACGCAGCAACAACACCGCAAGATTTGAAGGAGGCAGGGGCCTCCAGCCATTCCGCTGGACTTACATCGATTGCCCCATCTGAAAGGCCTGTGAAGTATTCTGTCACCATACGGCCCACTCGGTCCGTCAGTTCGCCGTATCGTTTCGTACTGTTGGTAGGGTGATGAGTTAGCACGAATACGAAATGGCTGGGGGGAGGAAAGAGCGGCCTGGCCTACTAATACTCAGATGACTGCGTGTTCACTTGATATTTCGCCCTCATGTCGGCAAGGTCCTTCTCCAACTTTGTGACATCCGCTCGTAACTTGGTTTGCATCGTCTCACGGGTCATCTTCTCCTCGTCCCGTTCCCTTGTCCTTTCCTTCAGGTCTCGTGTCAGGTTGGCTTTGTCAAGCACTAGTTCCTGCTTATCATTCTCCAGAGCTGCAATTTTCTCGGCATTTTCGGTTTCCAGCTCCTTCATTCTCTGCCGCAGCTTGCCCTCGATCCTCTGCCTCGCTCTTTCGTTTTGTTCCTCGTGAAGCTTCACCATGTCCTCGTACTTCTTTTTCTCCTCCTCGCCGGCCTTCGCCTGCGCCATCAACGCCTTCAATTGGGCTTGATGCTCGGCGCGCAGGTCGGATTTCTCCTTCTCGTGTTTGTCTTGGTCCCTTCGGATGTGCTTCCAGATCACGTCGTGGGCGGCCTGTAGTCTCTGGTTCTCGTCCTCGAGCACTCTTTCCTTTCCGTATCGTTCGCCGACCGTGGTGACTATCTTGCCGAACTTACCGAATGTGGAGTATAGGTCGCCCACTGCGCTGTCGATGACGGCGCACCCATCTTGGAGCCTTTGTACCTGCGCTTCAATCTGGGTGTGAAAGAGGCCGAAATGTGTAGCGGCAATGTCGGCGCTGGGCTGCTCGGTGCCGATATTGACACTGCCCCCAGCACCGGCACCGGCACCAATGCTGGGACGAGCACTGCCACTGGCACTGGTATCCGCGCCATCCACAGTACTCACCCCGTTTGGCGTTGCGTGAGCTCCACCGTTCAGGCTGTCCTTCGGTTGTGCTGGGCCAACGGGCTGTTGTGACATTGTATCGGCATGTACCTGTCCGGACACAATGAAATTCAGTCAGTCACACTTTTGGCTAGCCGTTGTGTTCAGGCATATGGAGCATTTGGCACAGGCATTTGAGGCCACCGAGATATTCGGTAAGAACACAACACATACTCTACCCTTTTCTCGTCTCGTCCCCGTCAAGCTCCCTGTGCGAAACAACTTGCTCAGCAGGGCCTCTGTCCTAGTGATTTCGCGATCCTTTGTGATTGAAAATACGTGGTTTGGCAATTTATGAGGCATGGAGCATAGAATGCATCCATGCAACAATGCGGTGCCTCAGGAAGAGATATTTCAGTTAGCTTCGACCGGAACTGGCACTGCAGGCGATCATCATTTTGTGGCCCAGGTAGGTTTGCCCATCCAATCTCAGCTGATTGACATTTTCCGCTCGTCCTGTCGTCCAAAAATCACATGCAGAGGCTGCAGGCAGGTAGATGTACCAGGTTCACCAGGACCCCGTGCCCGCTGATAAGACTGGATAGATTGAAGGACAGTAGAACCGCATATCACGATACCCCCCGCCTTCTCTATGTCTGCCACTTGTCATTTCCTGAATGAACGGACGGAACTGCAGGCGGACAATCATGCGGCTGCATGCAAACAAGCAAGCAAGGAAGTGCCTCTTGACCGTCGCGGCAGGACATTGGACAATTGAAACATGATTATCATGACTTTTCACCACTTCACCCCAGTCATATTGCATGAGTCTTCCGTGATTGGGAGCTTCGATTCCTCACTGCGGGAGTACTCCGTAGTCCGGCCGGCTGAGGCGCGAACGTATGGTCTGAGCACACAGCATGCAGCATGCAGCACAAAGGACAAAGGACAAACCTTCGAGGAGACGCCACTTCAGTTTCTACGCCGTGCACCGTTAGCTCGCAGCTAGGTAGTAGCCCGGCCGAGTACAAGCGAGCCTATCACGCTCCGGGGCAGACTCAAGTACGTGCACCAGGCCAGATGAGGAGGGCTGAGGCTGGCTTGTCTTTCTCCCCTACGAGTTCCACGAGAAGTAAGATCCCGACGCTGTGGTGATACGATGCAAGTGTGCGTTGGCAGGTCAGTAATATCCTCACCACGGAGTACTCACTTCTGTTATCCACGGATGCAGGAAAGCAGGCAGGCGGTAGGCAGGCGGCAGGGATGCAGACAACCCCCACTCGGAAATGCATTGCCTGGCGCCGCAATTATTCGGTTCCCCAAATGTGATTGGCGGTGCGGAACAGGAGAAAAAGAAAGATTTCATCGAATCGAGTCTCCTTTTTCGAACGACCCATACAACCTTTCGGGAGGTGGGGTGCTTGGAATGGATCAATAAAATCCGGCCATTACGATGCAGGCGGACGAACTGGTGGGAACTGCCGACGCGCGGAGAGGGAAAAGAGGAAGCCTAAAGATCTCGCTGCCGGTGTTGGTGGGGAGGAAACTTTAGGTGGGATGTACTTTATTTACACGGTACGTCTGAAATTTCCTCGAAGTACAGTACGCCTGCTACTCTTGGTCCTGCGGAGAATGCGGTGTCATGACTAGGTGCCTGAAGACGTCAAGTATTCCCTACTACTAGTATACTAGTACTCACGTACGAGTGAGCACATGCTATGTACCGTACTTGACAGCACGGTCTTCAGATCCCTCGTACGACGAGCAGATCCATCTACATTGTCTACTCCAAGTACGGAGTACTCGTAGCATGTATACGCCTCTCCGTAGCGCGTGTCGGTAACGATTAGCGGCAGAGACTGTCAAAGTTGCCAGTGAGGCTACAATCAAGGATGTGCCAACGAATAAGATACGAGTGCCACGCTGATTTCGATCGCCTTACGGCGGGTACGTAGTAAGGGTGGAGTCCACCCCGCCTTCACACAGCAGATCTGTAGCCAGTGCTCGTGTTCTGAGTGCATGCGCTTGCCGTGGACTTCAAGTTTTTGCTCACTGCAGTTTCCAGTCCGGTTCTAACCAATATCAGCACCCCGGACCTTTGACTTCACTTCAACACAGTATACGAGTCGTATCCTGCGTAGTCGGAATCAGACATGACTCGGTATTTGAATTATGGCGTTTACTTTCCTACGTACCCGTCCCCAAGACTCGGGGTAAGCGCCGCACTGTACTGTACTTAGTATTAGCTGCGACAGGAAAGGCAAAGTAAGTCCGGGGTGAAATTTTCGGTCACTCCATCCAGCTTCAGCTCTTTCATGTATTTCCCGTCCGCGATTCTAAGCTTTTTTTCCTTACTGGCCAACCACTGCATAGGATCCCCAATGCCTTGTACCTACGAGTTCCGCTCACTCTCGATTGCCCGCCCGTCCTGCTTCAGCGACAAAAGAATAAAGAGGCTTCGCGAAACACTGGCGTCACGTCCCTAAAATTGAAACCACTCGGCTGCGCCTGTCGCGTAGGGCAGAGAGCGAGGTGAAAAGCTTCAAATTTCAGAATATGTCGGGACTTGATTCATGTTCCCCTCCAAGTCCTTGCACACTGGTCCATCACACAACCGTGACGTCAATCGCATGCTCGTCTTTACTTCCCGAACGGTTCTAAACCCTTTCCGGAACTTGAAGTCGGCCAAACTCCGATATCACTCCGAATGGGAAAATGCGTGTCAAGACAATCAATCTATAGCCAACATTGAAGTCCCCCACCCCGAACGGCGAGTTTTACTGATTCGAAGTGCCAGTCACGGACATCATATCTCGCGAGTTCTACTCTAAAGTTCTCGGCTAGAATTGAAGCGAGATAGAAGGCACACGCTCGCCCGGTGGCCGTGAGAAATCATTTCACAAACTTCAGCAAGGGCACACTGCATGTGGCGATCTCCTCACGCACGACGAGGACGTGATGGGGAAAGATTTGACGATACTACTAGATAAGTATATTAAAAGAGCCGTGCTGGTCGTCACAATCATGGTGGACAGCACCGAGGAGATACATAGTAAAGAAGGATTGAAGATGCTGGCGGTTGAGTGAATCTGTGAGTGGACTGAAACGCCGCATTTCGCCGTGTGTTCAGAGATCCCCGAGTTGATCTTGCACTGACTTGAGGCGGTCCGAAGACAGAGATCAGAGGCGGAATGGGATTTAATGTTCTTTGCGCGCGACTCATCAACATTAAAGAAAGAACTCCATGGGTTCTAGGCAACAGATAGTATGTATATAGTAAATTAAGTACTCCGTACACTACTAGTACTTAGCTTCCTGAGGGTCTTGGCGAAAAGTTCAGTTGCTGAAATACTAGTATTTCTCACAAATCAGGAGGACCTTAGCGCTGCTTTGTGCCTGTCGACCACCACACACCAGTAGTACCACATTTGTCGCAGTACATACAGTAACCGTGAGATGAAATATCCGTCTAAAACCACAGGATTCTACTCTCACCTACTGCAGTTCTCCTTAATCTGAAGCTGCTGTACTAAGTAGTATGTAATCTCTGAAATTCCCTCCCTGAAGCTGCTCGGATACCCCGTTGAATCTACTCGGATGCTCGTCTGAACCTGCTATAATGCTTTTCTGATCTAGTTGTAATCCTCCGCTGAGCTTGCTGTGATCCCTGCCTAACTAGAACCTTGCTGTGGTGCTTCTCTAAACCTGACCTGTTATAACTCCTCTCTTACTATACTAGTATACTACTGTATATAAGTACTATATAGTATGTACTATATATTAGTAAGTACTAGTACTAAGTATATTATTATTGCTAAGCTAATCTTAAAACTTAAGCGCTTATCAAGCTGGGAGCCTCCCTTACTGTTTACTAACCTTAATATCAAGCAGTATATAGGACTGATCTATATATACTATATATAATATAATCCTAACTCGAAATAATTTTACTCTTATCTTACTCTTATCTTACTCTTATCTTTATATTACTAGCAACCTAAGCCGCCCTAAGGGGTCATTTAAGTACTTAGTAGTACGAAAATCCCTTAAAATAGCTTAGCTTACTAACGTTAGTACTAAAATTCTAGTACTAATAGTACTGCTCGAAATCGTGATATTTTCACCGATTTAAAGTGCTGTAAGAGGTATTAAATCTAGTACCTCTCGAATACTTACCATATCCGATACTTATCGGATACTTATCGAACACCTCTCCGATACTTCTTAGAGACTTTTTTAATACTAATCTATACTCCGAAGTCCTCTAGGTGGGGCAGTACTGTACTAAGTAGTATGTAGTTTATTCACTTTACTCTTTAAGCTTAACACTATAAGCTAAGTATATATCTATTACAGCAATTACTAAGTAGTACACTTTATATATTAGTTATATTCGCTATTATTTTCATAAGGTTTACTACGTATCTATAGCTCAGCGTGTAGTATGTTTATACCCACTTGAGCAGGAGCACCCTCGAACTGTTCATCCGCTGGTCGCCGTTGTTGGCCTAAGCACCTGACGATTGTCAGAGAGCAATCGGTCCAATAAACATCTTGGGAGAAGCAGTGTGCGCTGTGATTCAATTATTACCACCTAAGCGATTGGGGTGGTCACCCTCAGGGGCGCAAGTGCTAGATAGACCACAAAGCAACGACTGAAAAAGGAATCCAGCCTAGATAGGGAAGAACAAACCTGAGCCTCTTTCTTTTTGAGCATTGGTTCGTCGATTTCATCCTTTATGATCTGTTCGCAACGTTTGCATGACGGGTGATGGTCCCTGGATAATTCGCCGGTTCTTCTCACCTTCGTTGTCGTCCGGTACCGTGTTCAATCGTTACCGAAGCGATGCTGAAGAGATGTACTGTCGATGACCGTTCGAGAGTTCGTGGGCGTTCGATCCACCCAGTGTCCGCACTTGCAGGCAAAATTTTGATAAGCCGCCTTCGGCAAGTAAGTACGTAGTTAGCCAGATTTCCGTCGCTGACCAATGCAGAAGCTGCAAAATGCGGCAGGATCTGAATGTTGGCGATGACGCTGCCATTGCAACGTCTGGCATCGCGGGCCAGACAAACTGCAGCAGTTCATAGGTACACCAACATACCCGGTGACATTTGGCTGGAGATAGGATGCGAGTAGGATCGCTGGGAGCCGAGACGTTGTGAGAATTCCCTCAAATGCATGCCGCATGAAGTCGACTGCATGTGGCTTCATTGGTTCACTTGCTCTCGATCATCGATGAGGCCGACGGTGATTCGCAGGTTTCGACAATGGTATTCCGGAAAGGGCCTTTGTAGTGTGATAGGGAACCTCGCTATTGCTTTCCTGGAAGGGTTTGTCGGTGGTGCTATTCGCGAGGCCGTTCCCCCAATAAGATATTCGGAGTATGTATTTGCTATGGCCTTGCGAGGTTCCCACGCTGGACCGGCAAATCGATGGCGTTGTGCTTTGTGATTGCTGATCTGAAATCACCAGCTGCAATAGTGTAGCAGGTTTGGTCACTAGTTTCCGCCTCCAAGGCAGGCGCGAGAGATTTGTTCCGTTCCAATCGGCACTCGACATCGACGAGTTCGTCGCCGGGAAATAGAGGTCGTATGGCGCAGGGTGTCCTTGTCGCGTCTCCGGAGGTATCTCATGGTCTATAGCCATTGATCACGAATACCATTGTTGTTCACAGGCACCAAAGGTGTCGCCTTGGCTTTCCTGTATGCGTCGAACCTTGAACCACTTCTTTGGCACAGGTGAACATCCCCAAAAAGCAACTGGCAGCGGTCGGACCAGGTGCAGGTAAGGATGCCACTGCTCCCGCCCAGAGGTTGACGTTGTTCTTTCCAGTCCGAATGAAGTTCTGGTCAAGATAAACTGGTGCGCAGCCGGAGAAGTCGATCCACATCCATCTGCTACCGGTAATTACTACTAAGTATGTAATGAATGATGCTGTACCGCTCTCTGGGCGCCGGTGGCGCAGCCGGCATCGATCCATGGGCGGGCGGGCAAGGGAGTGGCAATGCAACCCGAACCAGATTGGATCGCAGGGCGAAGGTGCAGGTGTTGTTGTGGCTCTAGGTGACAACGTGAACCATAAGTGGAAGGTGGCGACCGAGCAGGCATGGACTGGATCTAGAACGTCTGTACGGAGTAGAGGATGCGAATTGTGTGCCAACGGTTAGGGCGAGGAGTTGCATTGTCCCGAATAGAAGGACTCTGGCGTTCAAGTCCCCGGAACCTTCCAGCAGCATGCAGTTAGTTATGAAGAGACACGACCAGGATTCCTGATGGAGGGACCGATGAGGAAGCGGCGCCAACCAGTGCGGAGGTGTGATAGCTTCTTCGGCCTGCAAAAGAAGCGGGGTACGAGCAGACCAGTCTGTTGCCGTGCTTGGTTCTGTCGGAGGCCCTGGACGTCTAGTCGTGCAGTATCAGTATTACAGGGCAATGAATGGTAATCATGTAAGACAAGTCGACCAACGCGGCGTCCGGCTGACACTCTTGAGGGTATGAGAGTGATTACCGTCAATTTGGGTGTAGCCAAACAAGAGCTGTGTGAAAGCCTTGGAGCCGAAACTTCACTGACTTTCAGACAACCGCAGATATCGGTGCGGATGTCAAGTGCGATCATTGGCTCCGGCGTCCACGGTGTTGTCGTCAAGTCCTGCACCAATGAAGCATACATATGAGACTGTTCTTTCAATTCTGCCCCCCCTTCCCAACAGGGACCATGGTTGTAGTGGGTCTGCCGCATGGTGCTTTGGTCAGAGCTGGAACTGCGCCTTTGAATATAGTGCTGAATGAGTGGGAACATGTCGGGACATCGTTGGTGCCACGGAGGATGTCGAGGAAGCCCTCGATTTCGCGGTAATGGCCCTGGTTCATGTAGATGAAAATCAAGTTGTACGCTCACCGTATGTTCAATCTCTTGTGCTGATGTTGGAGCCATAAACAATCATGACCGAAGGCACGCTTGCGGACTTCGACAAGTATACGAGACAGGTTTGGCAGGAGACCAGCGCGGTCGAGTCGTCTTGAAGGTCAGCTGAAGAAATCTGGATCGAGTCGCGACATTTTTCCAGTCCGAAGCGGGTATCGTGAGCTGCTGGGACGAAGCATTTGCATCGCGGCACAATTTACCAGTTCCTGGTAGATTCCGTGGCACTTCAAGATGTGGCACCAGGATCAACTCGCTCAAGCACTGTATTTCAGACGAATTAGCTTCGTTGTGTTTGAAGATCTGACCCGATCCACAGCGGCAGCGTCATAGGAATACTCGTCGCTAGCCATTCCAAGAGAGATACGATACAATTGCATGGTTAAACAAAGATGGTCGTCGCGTATGGCTGTTCCAAGAGGGATATGATGCCACTCCAGTAATTCAACAGGTGATCGACCTGAAATGCAAGTTGATGTTTCGAAGAGGTAATCGAATCACCAGAAGTGGTGGAAGTACGCGAATTATTGCGTCAGCAGCCCGGCCAACTCGCCTGGAGTTGCCTGCGCTGCCTTTATACAATAGTGCCCTACACGGTCGCTTCTTCCTTTTCTTCTTGGGCATGGATCAGACGCGATCACAAAATGTATCCCGACACTCACGATTCGCACTCTGCACAACAAAAGAACTACCTTGGCTCTACGTGGACAACATGACGCCAAATCAAATCTCAGCGCTGAGTTAAAATTTCCCCGAATGGAGGATGAGAACGAACGAACGGCGAGTAGCGTCCTCGATCGGGCGCGCCCTAAGCTTGAGTTCCCTTAGAAATAGCAGATCGACGATTCCGTGTACCCGCAGCTTTACCACCATCCCCGATATCCAAGATGCGATGGCTGCAGAAGATAGGTGCTTGTTGAGGTAATCCTCGCCTGGAATACGAAAAGGTCCACAATTCTTTGAATGAGAGCCTTGATACGAGGTATATGGAGCTAAATCGTGCCTCTCCCATGAAAGGCGTATCATCCCTCCATTCCCCAGTCACACCTTGGAACACGAATCCCGCGAGAAATGGAGTCCTGCGCGAGGAAATCTATCCTCAATTATTTCGACCTTGGCAGTAAAGGTAGAGAACAAGTGGTTCCTTAAGACGGCGCTGCAACCAGGATACCTCGCTTTCCTGAGCTCGGCAAAGGCCCATCAAAACCCAGCGTGTTGTTTAGAGAAATCGGGAACCACCATCGACTTCAAGGGCAAGCGCTATGCCTATGACGAAACATGACATCCGCTAAGCAGGGAGTTCCGGCAGAATGGATCGGATCTCGTTATAAAGGTACCCGTGCTAAATAACAGACGGTCTTAGTATCTTGGCGCATGCGTGATGGCACGTCCAACTATGACAAGTGGCTTTTTAATGCCATGTCCGGTATCTATGTCGACCGGTGGGGTTGTGGTCCCAGGGCATTGCGAACTGAAAAGTGTGACTGTGACTGTGACTGCGGTGTCTGATACTTCGACAGGCGGAATCGGTCGCAAATCTCTCCGGAAATGCACCCAACTACAGATCCGAGACCGTTCCCTACTTCTACTCGATCCGGGACAATCTGTGTTCCAGGAATGCTGGCCCTATCTCCTGGGCAACCAGGTTCCATACGCCGACTTCGCTGTCTTCCAAGCTTTGAACACAAGGAAGCGGTTCGCGCAGCTCTTGCACGTTTGGTGGTCCTGAGTTGTCGTTATGCTGTGCTGATTTGTCTCCTCAAAGGCGTTGGTCCCAGAGACGCTCAAGGCTTTGTGGAAGGCCGTCTCTCGATGACGCAATATCAAGGAAACATATCGCTTCAAGATCCTGAGATGTTGGTGTCCGGATGACCACCGGTTACTGGGCATGGTGGGCATGGACCAGCTGTGGTGGCGCAGAAGATATAGTGTTTGCACGCTGGTGTCTCCCCAGATGCTCTCTGATGTATGCCTTTGCCCTGCAGTGTGACACTGCACAGGCTGCCTAATGCATGCTTACTGCTCTAGGACGAGGACAACGCGGTTATGCTGAAATAGCATGAGCAGCCTCAACGCTCGGTATCCGTGGCTAGCGGCAGACTGCCTCCTCCAATCGCCCTCCTCCACTTCTCGATGCCAAACCGTGTTCGGGAGGTCGGTCAAGTCCGCATATCATCCTCGTACGGCTCATGTTCGACCCGAGGCGAGGCCTGATAGGTCGCCTTTGTAAGACGTGGGATCGGCTTTAACTCTTCATCTTCATATCAACACGCCGTACAACTCCCCATGCGCTCCACGGCAAGACTATCACATCTCTCAAGACCCGCATATCCAAAATGTCACACTTTTCCACAACTCAATATGACAGCTTCTCAGGCGCCTACGACAGCGTCAACGACCTCCCCATCACCCGCGCAATCGTGCCCAACGTGGAACGCCTAGTGGCTCCCTACATCAAAGGAGCGCGCGTCCTGGAACTGGCATGCGGCACAGGCTCCTTCACGCGCCACCTGCTCGACTGGGGCGCCTCGAGTATTGTGTGCGTGGACGTGTCGCAGTCCATGATCCAGGGCGCACAGTCAGAGCTGGAACACTATTCCCAGCACAAGGGCAAGTACAGATTCATGGTGGCCGACTGTGCGACGCCCTTCACCGTCACGGGTGGCGAAGACGGCACCACGTCGCAGGAAGGACAGTTCGACCTCGTCTTCGCGGCATGGCTGTTGAACTACGCGCCCGACCTGCCCACTATGACGGAGATGTTCAAGAACATCGCGCGCCACTTAGCCCCAGGGGGACGGTTCATCACGGTGCTGCCCCACCCGGAGGAGGATCCGAAGGTGTGTATCGACCATGTGAATGCGCAGTACGAGCAAGGGTACGGGTACCGGGTCGATGTGCGCGAGGGACTGCCCGGGGCGTACAAGGGATATTTGGTGGAGTTGCATTTCGACACGGACCCGCCCGTCGAGTTTGGGAACTATTATCTCTCGATGCGCGTGCATGAGCAGGCCGCCCGCGATGGTGGGTTGACGGGGAAGCTGGCGTGGGAGGAGATCCGTGTGCCTGAGGAGGAGGAGGTGTTGAATCGGTACATGAAGGAGCCGATCCCGAAGGGGTATCTTGATGAGTGGCTGAAGTATCCGGACTTTGGGATTCTAGTGGTTGAGAAGGAATGAGACCTCGGAATCTAGATTATGTACATGGTATAGAACGTTGCGTGCGAAGACAGAGTCCGCACACATTCTCCGCATTCATCGCCGGACTGAACAGGATGGCTGCTGTGACTGCGGTACCCGGAGCAGAGCACTCGAAATGCACACCATCACCTGAAGGATGTCGACCGCGTGTGGATGAATGACGCTTGACAATCTCAACAGCATCACGTAGTGTACACGGGTGCAAGCGAGCAGTCAACCATAAACATGAAGAGGCAGCTGCCAACGCACAGAGTTTCCTCGATAAAATCAGTGCTGGGGAGCAGTCCGCTCTGCATACTACTGTGCATGGATCAGTGGTGCGGTTCCTATCAGTCAGGGAAGAATCTCCACCGAGCCCGTTTTATAGCGGTCCCAAAGCCGCCGAATTGGCCTTGGCGTATCACAACGTAGTGGATCCTCCGTACGGAGTTGTACGTCCTGTAACGACATGGTGGCGGACAGAAATTGACGCACGACCTAAGTATTCAACGGAAGAACGGCCATTATTCGAGGCGACTGCCAGTTTCTGAAAACGAGCACCGCGTCACGCGAGAGAGTACGAGAAGCCCAGGAACACAGTAATTACCATATTCAAATCCTCATCATTTTAGCAGTCCGATTGGTTTCTGGTGGATTTGATTGATCCTGCAAGAGGCGCCGTAAGCCACAAGCTACAGCACACCAACAGCCACCATCCCAACATGTCCGATATCCCTCACGTCGCCAACTGGATTAATGGCGCCCACGCCCCTCCATCAGAGCACCGCATCCAAGTCATCAACCCAGCGTCAGAAACCGTGCTCGCCACCATCGACGCCACGATGCGCGAGACCGTCGACGCCATCCTCGCCCAGTCAGTGCACACATTCCAGCAGGGTCCCTGGTCACACGCCGACGCCTCGACTCGGTTCGCCGTGCTCTCCCGCGCCGCCACGCTCCTCCGGTCTCGCATCCCCGAATTCGTCGACCTCGAGACGCAGCAGACGGGGCGGCCCGTGCGCGAGATGCGCGCCCAGCTCGCCCGCATCCCGGAGTGGCTCGAATATTTCGCCTCCCTGGCGCGGACGCACGAGGGCCGCGTCCCGCCCTTCAAGGGCCCCGTGGTCAACACCCTCACCCGCCTTCCCCTGGGTGTCGTCGCGCAGATCACGCCGTGGAACCACCCGCTATTGATCGCCACCAAGAAGATCGCGGCCGCGCTCGCGGCGGGGAACGTCGTCGTCGTGAAACCCTCGGAAATGGCGCCCCTGTCCGTTCTCCGGCTGGGTCTGCTGTTCCAGGCGGCGGGCCTCCCCGATGGGACCTTGCAGATCGTGTGCGGCTACGGGCGCGAGACGGGGAAGTTTCTTTGCGAAAGCCCGCTTTTGGCGAAGATTGATTTGACCGGTGGGATGGCTACGTATCGCGCCATTGCGCCCCGGGCCGCGGAACATATGATCCCCGTAACTGCAGAATTGGGGGGCAAGGCACCCGTGTGTTTGTTCCCGTCGCTGGACGTGGCGCAGGCGGTGAAAGCGGCGTTGTTTGCCAGCTTTATCGCGAGCGGCCAGACGTGCGTCACGGGCAGTCGACTGCTCGTGCATGCCGACTTGTATGACCGGTTTGTCGACCTGTTGGTCAAGCGAGTCAAGGCGCTGCGCGTGGGCGATCCGACCGACGCGCGCACGCAGATCGGCGCCGTTATATCGCAGGCTGCGGTCGAGCGGTGTGCTGCGTTTGTGGACCGCGCGGTCAAGGAAGGGGGCAACGTCTTCTGCGGTGGTAACCCAACCAAGGTCGATGGGAAGGGATTTTTTTTCGAGCCCACGGTCGTCGAGACTCATGCGGCGTCTGATCTGTCACGCAACGAGGTCTTTGGTCCTGTCATCGCGCTTATCAAGTGTGACTCCGAAGAGCATATCATCAAGATCGCCAATGAAAGCTCCTTTGCGCTGGGCGCCTCGGTCTGGACGAACGACTTTGCCCAGGCGCACCGTGTGGCGGAGAAGATTGATGCCGGCATCGTCTGGGTCAATGGCCATCACCTCAACGATCCTTCTTCCCCCTGGGGCGGCTTCAAGGAGAGTGGCATGGGAAAGGAGAATGGTGTGGAAGCGTACGAGAGTTACACAAAGGTCAAGAGTACTGTCTTCAATTATGGGGTCCAGCCGACGTGGTTTGACGACGAGATCGAAAACGCTCGCTATGGGTAGGGAAACGGACAGCAAGAGGTTGACCTGATCGGTCGAGTAGCTGCCTTTGTCGATATCCATCCCCCGGACATGCGTGGTCGTCACGAATCGAGAAGCCCTCGTTCAGAGGTTTGAAACACTTCACACACGGCGTTTCTGCCAACTGGGTCTCCCTCCGCCACTGCCCGTGTACCTTGATCCCGCGACTTGCTTCGCCAATATGGAGTACAATAGGTGGTGGTACCCAAGCGCTGTGTCTAACACAACGGCAGACCCTAACTACATGGCCACATGCCCGGACCTTCGCTCTTCCCGACGCGCTGCTCATCCCAATTCATATCCTTGACCAAATCATAATCGACTTCGCACGGTCTGGGCGAACAACATGGACTGCGGATGTGCCCAAGATATGCTCAACAAGCGGTGGATGTTGTTGGGCTTGTAGGCGGCTGGTGCGCCTGTTCTAGGCCGGTGACAGGAGAAGAGTTCCCAAATGCGCAGGCTGAGAGCAGAAAGTGCAGCACCTAGTAGCTGTCTCGGGCTTGCTTCTGCTGGAAGGTGGCGCGGCCATCTTGTCACGCTGCCTTGGGGCTGCTCCTTGCTCGTACAGGCTAGTTGGCTTCGAAGTGCTCGTCCCATGCCGTGCCTGCCATCCCAATACTTCATTGTTGTACAGTATTCAAGATCAGATGGGCTCTGCACCTCCTGTCCGTGCAGTTCAGTGGTTGTACCACCAAGGAACCGCGTGGTGAGAATCATTCTGCAACCAAGCGACCGAGTAAAGGCTCTTATCCAATTACGTATAAGGCCCTATCGGGGCCAGCCCAACGGCAAGAATGAGACACAGGAGGAAAAACAGCCACCGACTCTTGTGGCCTTCGTCCGTACTCACGACTACACCAGATCCGAATGCGAGAAGCATCGCCGTGGACAACGGGACGGGCGCCCCAGCCAGGGCAGCAACCAGGAAGCCGAAAGACCCGACAAAGAGCCCACACAGCCACTTGTTCCTCCTAAGGAGCCAGTCCCGGCTGCTTTCACGCCACTTGCCGCGCCACGCGAGACGCCACTTGAGACGCCACTCGGCGGCACGACAGAGTGGAAGGAGTTTGGGCTCGAGCATCTCGTACGTGATGCGCCCGCCCTTGAGGTCTTGACGGATGCTGCTGTGGAGTTCGGCGTTTGAGAGCATGTCGCGGCCCGCCTCGTCAACGTCTCTCTGCATACAATATGCGAGGTCCAAGACCGCCCGCTGCAGGCCCATTGACCGCCCAACTCGGTCGAACCGTGAGTGCAGGAACGCATCCAGCCACAAGGCATACATGCCCACACACCAGACCAGGAAGACGATGAGGGAGGAGAAGAGGGCCAAGAAGGAGAACCCCCATTTATAGCTTTGACCGGCTGGCTGACAACGACCACGGACGTTCAGTTCGTCGAGTTTGTACGTGTACTCTCCGTTGGTGAAGATTGGGTCGGTGAAATTGTGGAAGGGCTCGTCGCCGTCTGCGCTCTTCCAGTAGTATCCAAAAGGCCAGTACCACCAGTCGCTGCCGTTTGAGCTTTCTACCGAAATCCAATCTTGTTTCCAGAAAATAGGGGTGATGGTCAGACTCGGTGTAGTCAGGTTGACGAGTCGACCACTGTAATTGAACGTGGTACCTGCCTGGACCTCGCCCAAGAAGCCGTAATGGTAGGCATACTCGGAGACGTGCCAGTAGAAATCGCACATTGGCACGCGGGCAGTGTATCCCCAGTCCAGAGCGCCATGCATATCCTCATGGGGCCAGGCGGTACTGGTGCAATAATCTGAGTAGGAGGACTCTCCCAACTGGGAGATGTCTCCATAAGGAGTCCTGCCCGTTGTCACCTTATAGTCCTTTCCGAGTGTTTGATCGATTCTGTGTGCATCATGTACGATGTACCTGATCAGGGTGAAATTACTGTACTGCACCAAGTTGCCGTCGTCGACTTGCACAAAAGACCCAATGTTCACGGAGTAACCAGTCATTGCGCTCAGGATCGTTGGGAAGGCCAGGACAAAGCAAGCACTGGTTATCATCCACACGACAGCTGCCCTGGCCTGAGCAGTCTTGTTCTTTAAGAGATCCCTTGCCAGCTTGAAATTAGCAGTAAGTGAGCCGCTTTGCAGCGTGACGGCTTCGAAAGTGCCGTAAGATACTGGGGACGACTCCATGGACCGTACCAGAGCCTTCGAATAGACGGCGAAGGCGATAGCGGCGAGAAGCGCCTGACCGCCGCGGCCGAGGATGATCTGGGGTGGTCAGCAGACGCCTCAAGTACCTGGCCACGAATACCCACATCCCAGCCGACATCGATTATTTTGGCCGTCGAGAACGAGAAGTTGCCGAAGCCCAAGGTGATCTGAAAGAGGCCTGAGAGTTCCCAAATGTCATAGTCCTGAAACCCGACATAGAAACCGCTATCCGGCCGGCAAGCGTCGCGGACCTGATAAAGCGAAGGCGACGAAATGATAGGTAGGATGGCGGCGGTGATGACGATGAAGAGGAGTGGGCAAACCAGGGTAATGAATCGCCATGCAATATGGCGCCACCTGACGCAAGCGAGGGTTTTACAACCGGCCTGGTAAACGGCTTTGAGATCGGAAAAGGCTTCGCGGAAGAAGGCTTTAGATCTCGGAATGGCTTGTTGCCAAAATTCTCGCGACAAGACTTGCTGCAAGCACGACGAGATCTCGGATGTCACTTTGCCTGTGCGCGTTCGCACATGATGATTGAGCGAGCTTGTGGCGGATAGATAGTTGGAACGATTGGCGCGAGTACCGACACTTTCGGGGCCGAGTTCATCGAGGTCGACACCAACATAGCCTCCATTCGCGGCGGAAAGCATCTTGTCGTGGCCCGGTATCGGTCTTTGCTTCGTGCTGAGAGCACGCGTGCCGGCGCACGAGCGCTGAAGACGTTGATTCGGGGATCATTGAAGAGTTTGCGGCGACGAGCAGCCCTTATCAAACAGAGTACTTAATAAGGCCCCCAGCCGCTCGACGGAGGGCCATTGCTGCAAGCACGGAGTATGCAGACTCCATAACGTGCCTGAAACTCCGATTGGAGGCCATGTCACTCTTCATTGTAGCAGCAACCCGCCAGCCTCGTTATCGGTCATTTTGCAGGGCCTCACGAGGGCAAACGCGGGTCATGAAGCTGGCTTGCTGGCCTCTTGGGGCCAAAACGCGGGCTGAAGAGCCGGTCCAAACCTGGCCGAGACGTTCTGTCTCACTTGGACCTTGGCAACGGGCTAGGGACAAGCCGCGTGCCGAGTCTGTTAAAGCCTGGCCGCATTGATAAGATCGTCGAGGCTTAATCAGTCGGACGCGCTCCATAATAGTTGTGAGTTGCCATGCATGGGTCTGCCAGATTTCAAGCAGCAAAACGATCATTTGCGGAATGATTGCCAGTCCGACAGAACCTGCACAAAGACGTTCCTGCTTGAAAGTGGCAGCCGAAGATGCGCGGTCGGTCTTGGCGAAGCAGCTGCCGCCAGAGATGAAACAGGAACTTGAAACGCGCGTGCGAGGACGAGTGCCACGTAGCGGGTAACAAGCTTCGATGTACTCCGTAGGCGGCCTTGAAAGATTCCCTAGACAACTACGGCTCAGCCCGGAGATGGCGAGGCTGTCCACTCGCAGTTGTACGCCCCAGACATAGTACGGAGGACCAGTCCTGTCCTCTCAATCCCACATGAAGAAATGTGATGCGACTTTTGCGCGCGGCGACTGGTTCTCCTTTTCGACACTGCTAGAGTACGTCATTGCCGCTCCACGTCCCTAGCTTGTCTCTCGACATACTAACACTCCTATGTATATATAGTACCATACGTGGCTTACTTCTGCTGGCGACAAACGTTTGCTGTCAGACTCAGGCTGAAGAGATGATCCAGACGTGTCTGGGAAGATACTGTGACGCATCACGAGGCCGCTCGTGTTAGGACATGCCGTCGGTTGCAGCAGGGTCCCGGCCCATGAAGACCTTGAACAATCTTTTGCTGACCTGAGGACCCAGTCGCTTGTCACTCCACCCGCCATCCTTGTTTACAGTCTTGCGCACGTCTTCAAGTAACAGATTGCCGTGCTTCCCGAAGCCTTTGACGAGCTTTCTGATCGTCTTGAACTCTTCAACTATTCCATATGCCATACTGGGAGTGACTCTCTGCACCTCTTGGAGCATCTTTACAAAGGTATCCTTCGCGTCGTCTCCCGTCCGGACCTGACCGCTGTTCATGCAGAATGACGCAGACTTGAGGTTGTACTCAAGCTGCGCCAGCCGGTAAGGTCGGACGGCAAGCTGTTGGGTCAGGGCAGATATCTGAGAGGCCGAATCCGCCGGTGTCGGTGAATGATGTATCAATATCGGTTGGTGCGCCAACTGAAGGTGTAGGAGCAGGTCATCAATGATGTCGGATGTGACATGTGAGAGATCCAAAGAGTCCGAAAGTGGCTTCCTACGCTTGCGACTTCTGGCTTGCGAGTGAGCTGGTTCCGCATCGGCATCGGCCTGCAACATCTGAGCACGAACACCAGCAGTGTATGCTCGATTCTTTGCATTGAGGTTCTTTTTCAGCCAGCTGCGCAGCCCTTCAATGAGATAGACTGGAATACAGTCGCCGAACCGTTGCCGTATGGAGTTGACATGTGCATCAAGGTTGGCCTTCAGGTCTTCCTCTGTTCGCATGACAGAAGCCTCCGCGCCAGACCGCGAGACGGCAGCCACAGCGACAAAGTCCCCGGCCGGCATGTGGATCAAAACATGCTTCTCCTTGACAACCCGACATCTGGAAGTTGGTTCCCACTGGTCCTCTTCGTCGTTGTACGTCGACTTTACCTTGCGTCGCCACGTGATGATGCTTCCGTGCTGTTCTTGACCAACACCGTCATCAATCAGGTTGATCTCCTCGTCGATATAGTTGACCTCGACCTGGACATTTTCCATACGCTTTTCGACCTGGGTGCCAACACTGGTATCCTTGAGGAGGCTCGACATATCCAGTATCATTTCGGGCGTCGCATCTTTCTTGTTGGTCCGGGACTTGTTGACTTCCGCGAGGTCTGCTGCCTTCTGCTTTTCCTTTCCCTTTTGTTCTTTTTCTTGTGCCTTTCTCGCCTTTTCGATCTCCTTGGCTGCCTTTTTGTCGGCTTTTGCAGTTGCCCTCTGCGCAGCTCTTTCAGCAGCTTTGGCGGCCTTCTCGGCTTCTGATAGCTTGGATGATTTCGAGGACTTGGCTTTCACAGGACTGGAAAACTCGATATCGTCCACATTCTTGGTAATGACTTTTTCACCCACATCGCTCGTTTTGTCGTTGGGTTCACGATTCGCGGTTCCCCTTTTCCGACGTTTACTTGGATCTTGTGGAAGGGAAGGCAGAAGGTTTGCTGGTCTGCTGTCATGCTCGGGCTGTGATGTGCTCATGGATGGATCTCCCAGGTCGTCATCGAAGAAGTCCTCTAACACGAACTTCGTAGTAGTATCAACGCCAATCTGCCTTGTTTTCTTCGATGACAGTGGCTCTGGCGCGGAGGACGAGTAAGTGATCTCGTCTAAAATCTCGAGATCGGTACTCCCCTGCGAGGAGTATCTCCTAGACTTCGTGGCAGTCGCTTCCCTCGGAATGTCGGTTAGGTCGTCATCGGAAGAGAAGTCGAATTCGAGTACCCGGGCTTTTTCAGTGGCAGAGCTCCGCTTTCTGAGTGGCGATTTTGACCGTACTTCTGGGCTTAAGCGCGCTTTCTTGGTAGGCCTACCGATGCTGAAATCTAGAGTGGCGTCCTCGTCGAACTTGTCAAGATCAAAGTCGAACTTGTTAGGTAGCGATGTGCTATTGATGCTGAATCCAGCGCCAACTCTGGTCCTCACTGGGCTGGGTGGCGCACTGGACGAAAGATGGACCACCTCCACCATAGCAAAACTCCAAAATTGAACATCTACTGCATCAAATGTTTGAAGACTTCGGCAGTACAGAATAGGGAACCCGTGATCGTCAACTTGGAAATAGCGAAGGCAGACAGAGTGAAATTAGTGGTAAGTCGTGACGTTGCCGCTGGTGCAGAGGGAGGAAGGGCAACGGAGCGACGGAAGTCCCGATTGGGCCAAAGAAAACAAGCGCGACTGTGGGAGTCGCACAAACAAGACGCGTAAAGTGGCACGCGTAGAGGGAAAATCACGTGAGAGCAGGAGGTACCTCGTAAAAGGACTTGTAGGTGCTCAGTGGCCCTACAATGGTTTCATTGATTGACTTGGGCTCCTCCATAAGAAGCCTGAGAGTGGCCCGTCGCTACACCCGCTACCTATGGTAATGATTAGGAAACATCTTCAGCCCTTCATCAGTGTCTCTATGCATCCTCTTCGCCCGAGCGAACTCAGTAGCTCTTCTGTCTCCTTGGCCACCTTTCGCCTTCACAATGGTTGCAAACAAAGCTGCCGCAAATGCAGCAACAAGCGAAAGCCCGAAGATGATGTCCTTTCTCTCGGGGAAGAGGCTGCGCTTATTTCTGAGCATGGCTTCCATCTCATTGCTGAGTTTCTCTGCCATAATCACTCTTGTGAAGTAGTCGTGGACTCTTTTGCGCCCATTGTGACCGACACGCTCAAGGTCTGCTGAGCCCAGCCCGTTCAAGACTTTGTCTACCACAGCAGTCCATTCCTCGACCTTAGTCACGTCTCGTAGCCAGCCTGTCTCACCTTCGACAATGGTTTCTAGGGGCCCACCCGTATTCGAAGCAAGAACGGGCAGTCCATGCTGCATAGCTTCCACTGGTACAATACCGAAATGCTCGTTGGAAGGAGTGTATAATAGCAACCGGGCATTGTTGAGGAGGATCTCCTTGAATGGGCCAGGTACGGATAACAGAAACAGTACTTGAATATCGTCGGGTATACCCAACGCCGTGGGCACTGTTTTGGCAGTGGCAGCTGACAGGCCGAAGCCTTTTGCGATGGCCACCAACTCTTTGTGGTACTCCACGTTCTCAGAGACCCGCTGATCATACCCACCAGCTATGATCAATCGGGTTCCAGTACGGGCATCAGCAGAGAGACTGTTATACGCCCGTATAGCCAAACCAACATCTTTCTTCCGCTCAAAGCGGTTTATGCTGAGAAGGATCTTGAACCGCCCATCCCACAATTGCTTGTCTTCAGGTTCGACCTGTAGGCTCGTCTCTTGGATGTTGACGCACGGGTATATGACACCTAATGACTCTGAGAGGGAGGGCCAGACCCGCGACGCAACTGATTTGGTGAACTTGGAGTTGACGACGACCCTGTCACTTGCACTCATGCTCCACCCCTCAAACCAGTCGAAAGGATATCTGTAGACCTTTTTCAAGAGCCCTAATAATCCAACTGTCCGCCGGTCCGCAAGCAGTTGGTCAGGAAAATGGCAGTAGAATAGAGTGCGCTGGCGGCCGGGAAAGAGCCATCTCAGGAGGGGCACGCAGGCCGACAGCTGGTCGACCACGAACACATCGGGTTCAAGTCTGTCCAGCTCGTTGCTCCAGACTGCAATCGAGAAGACGAGATGCATCTGGCGGAGGATGGCGAGGAGAATGTGAAAGCGGTTTAGGAACGTAGGAGGAAAGAGAGTGTTTCCGCGAACTCTGACATCAAGGGTGCCTGTACTCACCAAGCTGTCAACTCTTTAGCTGTGATTGACCGTGAGATCCAGCACGGTACTGACCATCTCTAGCTTCATCGAAGCAATGACTGGGATCACAGTGAGAAGTGAAGATGGTGACCCTGTTTCCTTGCTCTTGCAAGCCAACTGCAGCATCGACTATCAGTCTCTCAGCCCCACCGATTCCGAGATCTGGGTGGAAGAAGACGATTGTCCTCTGCGCTGCTCGGTGGGAGACAGCGCTTTTCTCTGCGGCAGACATCTTTGCAATACTACAGGTCCAAAGTGCGTTACTGGATGCGCAGCCGTGTCCACGAGCGCCAGACAAAGCAGTTTGGCATCGGCTTACCTTCCGTGCGCGACTAGCCGGATCGGCCTCGTTTTTGTTCCACAAGCGTACGGACTATTTTCCAGGTCGATGAGATACTCTCTCCCTCCCTGTTGAAACATGGACAAGAAGTCGCACAGCAGGTACGCGTCATGCTCCGTGTTGCTTCTTGGCTCCGTCGCATCCCATCGCATCGATAAATACCTTGTACACAGTAGATGCTGTAGCAATCCAGCATCGCTGGGCGCCGTGCGGGTAATTTCCAGGCAAGATAGGATTTCCGCTTGTCCCCAGATGTGGGCGTGATTGGCCATTTGGTTCCCCACCGGCCTCCCGCGCGATGGGAAAGGATGCGAAGTGGAGACCCTTATCGCGAATCACGCCCACCAAATATGTGAGCCATACCTAAAATGGGAAAGCGTACTTGGAGCTTCGGACGCAGACGCGCATGGATGTGCAAATAGTCCGTGGAGGGCAAGCTGAAAGGCTCGTGGAGTACGTATACCTTCTTGTCGCTCCTTCACCTGCATCACCGCCGTTCCCACCTTTTGTTGAGTCGCACCTACGGGTGGTTAATCGCACCTTCGCTTCTTCACCCTGCGCAGGTTCTGGTTGTTGAGGAAGCCCCGTCCTTCGTTCAGGTCCCAGCCTTCAACTGCCCCCAGATATTGACTGATATCTCTCGCTTATTTTCCTCGGCCCATTGACTCGTTCAATTCGATTCCTCCATTGCCCGCAGTACCAGATTAATATCGCGACTGTCTGAACAAGATGGCTCAAGTAAAGCAATCAAATCAATACAGTCCTTGACATGTGCTAACCAGTGAAACAGCTCAAGACGACCCTGCTCGGCCTTATCGCGCTCTTTACCTCCTACGCGTTTGCAGTCTCTCCTCTAGTTGTTCAAGGTTCCGACTTTGTGAACAGTGTCGATGGCACCCGTTTCCAGATCATTGGTGTTGCGTATGAGACATGATACTTCCGGCTGGAGCATTACGATGCTGACACCTGCGAATAGGTATCAGCCCGGTGGGTCATCCGGCTTCAATCCCGGCTCTGGCATTGACCCGTTGAGCGATGCCGACGTCTGCCTTCGAGATGCTGTCCTCATGCAGAGACTGGGTGTGAACGCTATTCGTGTTTACAACCTTGATCCAGACCTGGACCATTCAGCCTGCGCCTCCATCTTCAACGCCGCTGGCATCTACATGATTCTGGATGTCAACAGCCCTCTGCCAAACCAGTCTCTGAACCGAGGCGCACCGTGGGAGTCATACAGCTCATTATATTTGGAGCGTGTCTTCGATGTGGTGGAATCCTTCATGCACTTCAACAACACGCTGGGCTTCTTCAGTGGTAACGAGGTCATCAACGAAGATTCTGTACCTCAAGTACCCTCCTACATCCGAGCCGTTACCAGAGACCTCAAGGACTACATCGCCAGGCAAGCCCCTCGCGAGATCCCGGTCGGCTACTCTGCTGCCGACGTCCGTCCCTTGCTTATGGGCACCTTCAACTATCTGTCTTGCGGATTGGACAACGACACGAGCTCCAAGATCGACTTCTTCGGTCTCAACTCCTACTCGTGGTGTGGTGATGCCACATTCCAGTCTTCTGGCTACGATGTCTTGGTTGGCGATTTTAGTAACACCACTATCCCAATCTTCTTTTCCGAGTACGGCTGCAATCTCGTCACTCCTCGCCAGTTCAGTGAGGTCCCTGCCTTGTACTCCGAAGATATGACAAAGGTCTTCTCCGGTGGGCTCATCTACGAATACAGTGAAGAGCCCAACAACTATGGTCTTGTCAACCTGAACGAGAACGGGACGGTGTCAATCCTGCAAGATTACAACAATCTCCGGGAGCAGTACAACTCGCTAGATGTCGCTGTACTTGAAAGAGCCAATGCTACCGCAACCTCATTGACCCCACCAGTCTGTGCTATCAGCTTGCTTGCTGGGACGAATTTCAGTAACAGCTTTGACATCCCTGCTCGTCCCGATGGTGTCGACGACTTGATACAGAACGGCGTTAGCGGCAACTTTCCTACTGGAACTTCATCGGTTACGGCTACCCAACCTACACAGACTGTGTATGACTCCAATGGCCTGGAGATTACTGGCCTTGAACTGAACATCTTGCCCAACGACGAGAGCAACTTGCCCGGGAACAATACTAGTGGTAGCACACCGGCAACGCCTTCATCGTCGGGGTCTCCATCGGGTACCAGTGGAGGTAGCCAGCCGTCGGATACCAATGGTGCCGCGAGAATTGGCGACGTCACAGCAGGATCACTTGTCATGGGTGTGTTGGCGGTCAGTCTATTAATGCAGTGAGATCAAACCCGTACGAAGGACGGAGTGGAAGAAATTCGGTGTCATAGGCCATCGTCTCAAATCCAGGAAACTTTGGTTGCATCTTCAGGAAGGCCTTGGGCAGATTACGTTCTCTTCAATGGACATATTTGCGGAAGGACTTCGCAGGCCGAAGTCTGGCAGAAGATAGACGTGGTGATGAAGATTAGATGAGATCAGACCAAGATGAAGACAGAACTCTAGTCAGAAACTGCAGTTGATATGTTTATTAGCTCTCAAGTAATAGCAGATGGAGAATGTCGTCGCTACCAGCCAAACAACTAGTTCAACGGCGAAGAGGTTGAATTTGCATTATTGGAACCGCCACTAACAGGGGAGTGCGACACCAAAGAATTTTCTCCGGCTGTGTTTGTTAGGCGAGTGAGGGCTGGGAGAGTGGAGAGAACGTTGGAAAGTTGAACGATAACCGACCGAAGCTTTGACCGTGCGTCAATCACCCTGCCACCAAGAGCTGTGGCTAGTGCCGAAAACAGGATCGAGAAACTTCTGGTTGTTGGTGGCATTACGAGGTACGAGGTACTGCCTTGCACTCGAAAATCGGAGCCGCCCGTCTCTTGTGGTGGGTGCGTGTACCAAAGTCATGTGCTGTAGTCGCTGGTCTGGCTTGAAATTTCTTGAATTCACCCCGATCGGGGACGCACTTGTTCTGATCGCACCAATCGCCTTTCAGGAGGGTCTTTTGAGCGCAGGCGCCAAGCGGGACCCGGGCTGGTTTGTTATGTCATTACTGTGGCGTAGGGCGCACTTCCAACCAATCAGAAACATGTGCAAGCGCCACTTGCGCTGTCCCTGCGTTTTGGGGCCGAGGAAAAATGATGCATTGTTGATCGACAGCCACACGAAAACGTCACCCGCCAACTTCTGAGTTCATCACAGCATCAAGGAGCAGGACGCACGGACTGAATCGGACCTCCTCACACGAGCTACAAAGAGGCCCCCAAATCCCCTTTCGTATCCCTCGTTTTACCACCCAGAAACCACCCCCCACACCTTCAGCGATAGTCTTGATACCTTTACACGCCGACCCCAAGACGAACATGGCTTTCGGTGGTGCCGTCCTCCGTTTCGGCCAGACTGGCCTGCGACTCCTCGAGTTCGCTTCTTCAGCCATTATCCTCGGAATCTACAGCTACTTCCTCGCCGTATTGGCCGACAAGAACATACACATTCCAACATGGGAGAAGGCAGTTGAGGGCATGTCTGGTGCCGCCGTCTTGTACACCATCTTCGGCGTTCTGTTCACCCTCTTCCTCGGTGGGATTACATTCTTCGCACTCATCGCCATCATTCTCGACCTCTGCTTCGTCGGCTGTTTTGCTGCCATCGCATACTACACTCGCCATGGCGCAAACAAATGCCGGGGCATCGTCAACACCCCTCTCGGGTTTGGTCCGGATGGCGAAGCTGCTCCTGGCGCCGGCGACTGGGGTTACGTCTGCAGCCTGAACACCGCCTGTTTCGCCATGGCGATCCTGAACATCTTCCTCTTCCTCGTTACCGCGATCGTTCAGGTTCTTCTCGCCCGCCATCATAAGAAGGAGAAGCGTTTCGGCCCTAGCCCAAAGAACAACTACACCAAGGGCACTGGTCGCGCCCCATTCTGGAAGCGCAACAAGAAAGTTCGCACTACTCGAGACGCAGAGATGGCAACCGGCGCAGGGGCCGGCGCGGGTTATCGTCCAAGTCATGAGACCGGTATGACCGGATCTACCATGCACGGCGGACATGCTCCTTATTCTGCCGAGCCGAAGTACGGTCAGCCTGGCTACGGACAGAATGTTCCTTTCAACCATCAAGCCACCAACTACTAGGACATTCTTGTGTTCGAGTAACGACATGGAGCGATAGACCAGCTGGTCATAATACCACTTTTCCTATCACCTTACACAATACCCATCCGTTGAGTGTACAATACCGGCGATTCATGATGCATGGGCACGGAGAATGCAACAGGAAGGAGAGTTGTCGATGTACCAACAAGATCAGCAGCATTCTTCAGCCAGGAGTTTGCATGATGTTACGATAGAATGTGTACTCTTACCCTAGCTTATTAGCTACCTAATCAAGTTATGAAAATTTAATATCTGCAACGGTTTAGTGATGAGTGCTACTACTGTGGTATGTCGCTTTCCATCGACTCGGACAAAGTGTGGCACCCATTTTGAGTGGGAGATGCTAGATACGTGTACGCAATAGTCGCCAACCGTGCTCGGCGCGGGTTCTTGTGTCGCGTCACGTCTCATCACGTCAAGTCGAAGAATTCCAATCTCCCCAACATTCCAGTTTTTCCCAATGTGCCACAATCGACGTCATACAAGGCTCAGACCGCCCAAGATCTGGTTTGTCCTTTCAAGACGAACCCCAGTATCGATTGAGTAAGAGTACGGGTACCAGTAAGTGTAGGAGACGCCTGTGCCACGTCTCTCGGATCGCCAGCCTTTCTCCGCTGCCGCTACCGCTGCCGTCTTACATGTCCGAGGCACGCACCCTCGTCAGGTACAGAGTACGGGTACGAGATACAATGCAAGGAACCCGATCCGCGCACGAAGCGGTAGTCAGCTCGGGCTGAAGAAGGGCGGAAAAGGGCTAAAACCGAACGTTTTCATTGGAAGAAATGCTGTACAACATGGGGTAAGCGAGCCCGCGGGAAGACGGCAGGATTCAGATTCAGGCGTCCCGGCACCCTGGGTATGTAAAGATGTTGCTCGACCGTGTGGCTGCGCCACATAATCTTGATTCTGTGTTCAATATCACTCAGATTAGTTCGCTGCATTGTACTCATCAAGGAGCGGAAAGCATGACCTCGAGATCGAGTCAGTACACAAGTCAACAGGACCGGCACTCGAGCCCGGGCGTGCTCGACAGCCACCAGCTGCTCGCCATGAGCTCGTCACACGTTGAGCGCGAATCCTTCCACAGATCGGAGCACGACACTGACAAGCATATCCGGCACAAACTATCCAGCTCTGGGGTGGTGATAAGATGTGCCGTCTCGGAAAAGTACATCGTGTTGAGCCTGGACGATAAGACGATCCACGCGTTTTCGGCAGTGGGGGAGCCTATCGTCGTGTTCCGAGAAGATCATCTGCAGAATGCTTGGTCATTGGCCTTTCGTGACGATGTTCTCCTCTCTGGCGAGATAGGCGGTATGATTCGGTGTTGGGATCTGGCCGAGCGGTACGTGTCACTGTCGCTGTCGTTATCCCGAGTCCTGGATGACTTTTTGTGAGACGATTAAATTGAGTGGACATCTCGCCTCACCTCATCTCCCCTCATCTCATGGTCAAGCGACGCTCATCTCGCCTCATCTCATTTCAAGAAGTGACGCTGATCTTCCATCTTCACAGGCGTCTCACACGCAGTCTTACCGGACATACGCAAACGGTTCGCGGCTTGAGGTTCGTCGACGCGAAGACAGTGGTGTCGGCCTCTAGGGACGCGCTGCTGAAGATCTGGGACCTGGAGACCGGATCGTGCCAGGCCACGCTCTCAGGCCAGGGGGACTCCATTCTGGATCTGGCCATCTTCGGAGTATTCGCAGTATCCGCTGGTAAAGACGGCACTGCCAAAGTGTGGAGCCTTCGCGAGCAAAGTAACGTGTCAACCCTGGCTGGGCATACTGGACCCATCTACCGCGTTGTCTGTCACAGTGACGGGGTGGCAAGGAGAGTATATACCGGAAGTACGGACCACGATGTCCGCGTTTGGGATCTTAGCACCGGACAACCTCTCGCCGTCCTGGAGGGCCACGAATCATTAGTCACCCACATCTGCGTCGATGGCTCTGTTGTGGTGACTGGCGGTGCTGACGGGAATATCGTCATCTGGTCGTGGCAGGACCATTCAATCCTGCAATTGATCTCGAAAGCGCACGAAGGGGCAGTAACCTCGCTGGATGTACGGGGTGGACAAATCCTGAGCGGCGGGAGTGATGGCGCCGCCAAGATGTGGGATTTGAAGACCGGAAAACTGCAGAGGCAGCTGGGAATAGGCTCCGAAGCAGTATGGAGTGTGTCTTTGGGCCGAGGGACCAGCCAGACCCGTGCGGCCATTGTAGCGTCGGCTCAACCATCCCAATCTCCGGGCGATCGACCTATCGACGCAGTTCTCGAGGTGAGTGGGCGTTGATTGAGCGCTCAGCTCCCCAGAAGCCTCATTCGAGGACCAAGATGCTAACATGGGAATAGATCTGGCCTCTTCCCTAGAGGTTGGTCCGGCGTCGCTACGCAGCTCTAGGTACATGCTCACCGACTTCCGCAATGTGCGATCGAGGAGGAATCGGGAATCGGCACTTTATATCTTGAAGAATGTCTGCGATGCTTCGATGCTTGGCTTCAGCTGACGAGTGTAAACCAGAACTCCACCACCCTATATGGCCACGGAAACTTGTCCGTCTGCCTCAAATTGGACTAATTCATTGAGATGCATGACCGCTCTCCATCAATTCGAGCCTGCCCTCACTGGCAGACTAGCAGTCTTATCCAACAAGCTTCAGGTCCTCATTAACGTGGTAAGGTAACCTTACAGTATACCCGAGCTTGGTTGGCAGGAGGCAGCAAAGACAGATTTCCTGTCGGACCCGAGCAAAGAGAGCAGCGCCCTATCATGCTCTCTGAAGGCGACCCACGTCCACCGCCGATAACTGCAATAGCGAATCACTTGTCAGATGTAGAGACTGTCCGGAGTCGGTGCTAGGTGCAAGGGAGCTGAAGAGTCAAGGACCTAGGTGTACTTCGTAATCCGAACGAGATAACTTAAACAGTGCTCCGTATGCGCAGATAGAGTCCTCATGTGGCAGGTGCTCTTCCGTACCAAGGTACCACGGCGCACCACAGACACGCATGACACGCCATTTCAAATGACCGGAATCTGCGGAATCCGAGGACGCGACTCTATGAACCTCATCCATCTTTCTTCCTGGTCCTTATCTCAGTTATGATATTGATTCCCGGGTTGGAGTTTCTCTAGGTCGACGCCACCAAGCAAGCCAAATCTACGCTTAGGTACGATATGGGCACGAATGTAAAGTTCGCCCAGGGGCGTTATGTCCTTGAGTGCCCTGGATGTTGATTGTGTTTTGCCTGTTCATATCCTCGTTTTGTTTCACCTCGAAAATGCCTTTGACCAAATCCCGACCCAGTGCCTCGGAGGCGGAGGGCAGCAACCGACCGCCGCCGCTTCGGACAGCTCAAACAGATGACCTCAATCACTTCACGGATACTCAGGTGGGTGAGGATCTGAGTTTGGAGGAGCAGACTGCTGTGTTGCAAGCGATGACCCTGGAGTCACCTCCCGGAGTCCAGTCATCGTCTGTCGTATCTCAGCCATCTCCCAGTATCGTCCAATCACCAGCCAGCATTTCCACTGAATTTAGCTACCGGAGTGTTGCACCAACATCAACCCCAGCGACACCGATCACGCCTCTGTCTCCCACAACCTCAAACCCTGCTCCTCCGCAATCCAAATTCGCGTCAGCTTTGCAGGATGTCAGACATTTTGCCGGAGGACTAATCAGCCACCCTTACGAATCAACCAAGCACTTCTCGATTCTTCGGCATTCATTTGGCATTGTCTACTACACTGGACCATCCACGAATCTTGCAATCACAATCTTCTCTGACCGGGAGCTGCCTTCTGACCGAACCCTATGGTTGCAGCGGAGAGGATTCTCGGGTAAGACCGGTCTAAAACTTGGAGGGCTTCTGGGTGCCAGGAGCACTTGGATCGATGTAACCCCGTCCATTCAGGCTGCAGCTGAGCAGGTGAGCCCTAACGACGAGCGTGCGTGGCAGAGGGATATCAAGAAGTTCTTGAAGAAGGCTCCGAAAGAGCTTCGATCTCATCGCCCGCGTGAGACCGACATACTTCGGATCCCTTGCGAGGCCGACGACGGCTACCTGAGGGTGGTCCTATGCACAGAAGGTGGGAAACGTACTCTATGCGGTAGTCCAATCTTCCGGCTGGCGTCATCCTCGGCAGACTCCAGTGTGGTCAGGGGCTCGTCACTCAAAACAATGCCACTAGAAGCGGGCATCAAGTTTGCAGCAACTGTGGGAAGACAATTCGTGACAGCTACGGCCGGTCCATATATCAGCACGGCACGGGAGGCGGTCACAAATCAGATAACTTCGGTCTATCAACCAAGTGCTGTAGCACAGCAGGCCATGACTACCGCCTACGATCAAAGCGGAGTCCAAGACCGCTTAGACAACATGAACGAAGAGTACGATACAGCTCGGGACGACTCTTACAACCGCATCGAGATGCAGGAGTATGATGCTCTTGATCGACCAGCTGTGGTTGGGCCCGCATCTGGGCCAGTACCGCCGTTTCCTGTGCGATTCCATGGGAAAGTTGTCGCTGGCACCGGCAGAAGCAGGGCATCGTTGAACATGCCCACAGCGAATCTGACAAGTGTCCCGGAGGAAATTCTTATGAGATACAAAGGAGTCTACTTCGGCTGGGCGGCGGTGAACCTGCCAAAGAAGCTTGCTCAAGCGGAAGGCATAACATACGAATGGCGCCAAGCCATCATCACAATCTCACCAGATCCGGATAGAAGAAGAACAGTCATCCACAAGAACAACGCACGAGTTTACCTGATCCACGAGTTTGGTTCTGTTGATTTCATGGATGCTAAGCTATCTGTGATGATGATGGGCTATCTACGAGCGATCGAAGAGCCACGGCTCGATCAGGAGCCGGATCCAGAAGCGGAGTTGTTCGATTTCTACAAGGATGTTAGCATCACGAATGCAAGTCTGGCTCGACCGGCATGGTCTGTAACAGCGACAATGGAACGCGAGAAATCGAAGGCATCCAGCCGATCGGTCTCGGAGCGCTATGTCGACTTCAGGCAGAACACGCAAAGGCAGATCGATCGAGTGCCCGTGCATCGACTTGGTGTACGAACAGAAGGAGCGGCCTTGAAGGACAGACTGATCGGACAAGGTGGAGTGTGGATTCCAAGATCAGCCATAACTCACGCGGCTACGTCCTGATCGTCTCAGTCCGCAGATAAGAGGATCAACAGCTTAAGAGACACACCATACAAACTACTCCAGCACCGCCCAACAGAATTACGCAACCACGACCACGCATCATTCAATGGAGCTTCTCGCCATAAAAAGAACCGAGCATTGGAAGGACCATTTTGTACAGAACCAACCTGAGTCCAGTCGTTTGTGCAAAGTCAGTTGTCCACCGTCAAGCTTTAGACTGGCGCTGGCTCGATCGGCGGCTACCTTGTCATACGCTATCACCGCTTCTTCGGAGTTGAAGCGTCCTTTGATGCAATAGCCAGATCCCACACGTTCATGAGTGCAAGATCCGCACCAGCGCCCGCAGACGGGTTGGCGGCATGATTTGCGTGTCCGATATAGACGAACAGGCCGGTTTGTTAGATTGAGTGCGAGAGCGGCTTCCAATCCATGGCATTGAACAGCATGACGGTGCTCGGATTCGTTGCAGAGACCGGATTCGTGGCCACCGGCGCGAAGTACGCTGCCAGATCTAGTGATTCTTTCATCAATAGCTCAAGCCGGCCCTGTGAAATGGGCTACCGAAGGAGCTCCTTCTTTTTAGGACAGCGACGACTCAAGCTCCACGGTGCCGACGTGTCGTCTATGAGTGCATTCTGTTCTCGAAGGGTCAAAGAGCTTGGTTCTTAATTCTCGTCCCGCCGTCTTCCTGCCTGCCTGATCCTTTGAACATCATGTTCAACATCAGCCGAATCGACTCAGTAGTCACTACGTACCTAGTCGCTGACACGGAGATACATATGCTCTCGCTAGGCAGCAGCATTCCATATGTACACGATCTCGTATTAACATTCCGATATAAGCTAGCTCGATACGGCGCCTATGCGTTCTGGAAGAATAACCTTCGGCTAGGTACTTTGTTGTGTGAGTCAAGTACAGCGCAACGAGAGGGGTACTGATTCCTTGCGACCTCGAGAATCCGAGAACGCACCAAACGGGGGCACTGGAAATGACATCATCCAGCCCTGCCTCGGCCAACCTGCCTCGCTGCGGCTTTCCCCAGATTCGGCGATCCGATGCCTCCTGGATGCATCTGCCCCTCACTTCGGAACTTCCTGTTCGGGCATCCCGTTGCGGCAAAGCGACCACGAACATGTGGAGAGCGGAGAGACTCATATTCGCCCTCTGAACGAATAGAAGCATCGACAGGAAGCCTGAGGATCCTGCGCGGCTTTCAACGGCTGTGTTGCCCGACTCTGAGCACCGCAGGAGAGCGGCAAGGGTTGCTGAGTGGAGTGTCCGCATTAATTACGGCATGATGAACTGCTGAGCTGCCTTTATGAGGTACACCACAGCACATGGCGCTTGATCTGACTGCGCGACTCTCACTTCCCCTCTTTTGACCTTCTGCCACGTCCTTTGTGCGCCCCAGTCTGTTCTTCCATTAACTCAGCAAAGACAGAGAGAAAAGACAAGCTGTACGACAGTTTTTTACTCGCCCTCCACCCATCTCGACCAGGCCACACAACATGACGGACAAGATGAACGCCGTGCGGTTCCACGGCAACAAAGACATCCGGCTCGACCAGATCCCCATCCCGACCATCAAACCCGGCCACGTCAAACTGGCGCCCAAGTTCTGCGGCATCTGCGGCTCGGACCTGCACGAATACCTCGGCGGGCCGAACATCATCCCCTCGAAAGACGCGCACCCGATCACGGGCGAGACCCTCCCTCTGACGCTGGGCCACGAGTTTTCTGGAGTGGTCGAGGAGGTGGGCGAGGGCGTGACCACCGTGAAAGCCGGCGACCGCGTGTGCGTCCAGCCCATCATCTACGACGGCAGCTGCCGGGCGTGCAAGCGCGGGCTCGTCAACTGCTGCGACCAGAACGGGTTCGTGGGCCTCAGCGGCTGGGGCGGCGGGCTGTGCGAACACATTGTCGTGCCGGAGTCGTGCGTCAAGTCGCTGCCGGACAACATCTCGCTCGAGGTGGGCGCGCTGATCGAGCCGCTCGCCGTCGGGTGGCATGCCGTCGACATCTCGCCGTACAAGGAGGGGGACTCGGTGTTGGTGCTTGGCGGCGGGCCCATTGGTCTGGCCGTCGTGCAGGTGCTCGTGGGCAAGAAGTGCAACAACATCATCGTCAGCGAAGTCTCGGGGAGGAGGAGGGAGTTCGCCAAGAACTTTGGTGCACACCACGTCATTGACCCGACAAAGGTCGATGTTGTGGCCGAGGTGGAGAGGTTGACGGGCGGCGAGGGCGCAGATGTGGGCTTCGATGCCGCGGGCGTGCAACCTGCCGTTGACACCGCACTCCAGGCCATCAAGGCGCGAGGCACGCTCGTCAACATCGCCGTGTGGGAGAAGAGGGCCACGCTGGCCATGAATGATATCGTGTTCAGAGAGAGGGCATACATGGGCATGTGAGTGGGCCGCGATTCCCTTCTTCTTCTTCTTCTTCTTCTTCTTCTTCTTCTTCTTCTTCTTCTTCTTCTTCGTTCTACTCGCTGGGTTGCTTGCGGGCAGGCATGCATGAAAGCTAACTGCGCGCCGCGCCTATCCATTCGTGTGTTTGCTGATGCTGATGCTGATGCCCATTGCTGACTGATCGCAACCACCAGAGCAACATACTCGCTCGGCGACTTTGAGGCCGTCATCAAGGCCATTTCAACGGGTGCGTGTCTGCGATGTGCAATATTTCTCTGGTTCTGGGAGTTTCGTCGCCGCTAACACTGTGGTGACAGGCGCAATGAAACCCGAAGGCATGATCACCAAGAAAATCAAGCTCGACCGCGTCGCCGAGGAGGGGTTCAAGGCGCTCATCGAGGACAAGGAGAATCAGGTCAAGATCTTGGTCGATGTCGGAGCGGGGATATGATGAACAATAAATAGTATTGTTATACCAGTTGTGGTATTCATTATATCATTGTATCAGATGTTACGCTACTATGTACTCACTCTATGAAAGTGACGTGAGAAAGTGCTGTGACTGTAGTATGGTTGTGTCCACGATGATCCAAGTGTACCTTGGAAGAGAGCCTGAAGCACAGAGTAATTGGGGAGTCTAAAAGCAAGGAGGACAGGAGAGCGCGCATCCATTTAGAGCCGGGAAAGTCATGTCCACGTACACACTGATAATGCCCATTGCCATGAGCACCCTCGTCCGATCACTACACGCCTTGCACTGATATGCGCACTACCCAGAGGGAGTGCGACTACTCTCGTTGTCGGACTCTGATCTAGCTGGAAAACGTATGTAGATCTATGTGTGCGTGTATGTGTAAGGATGTCCATCTGCCGGCAGACCATGCTTTTGAGGACCACACCACACCACACCACACTAAACGGCACCGCACTATGTACCCTACCATTTTCCATCGTCGCTGTATCGTCGCTGTATCGCTACAACCCTGTTCAAAGCCATCCTACGCATTACTAGGATACAAGACACGATCAAGCGCATGATACTCCTCCTTCAACGTCCTCGGCGCGGTAAACCGCATCAACATACCCGCACTACCCGCCTTGTCGTTGGTGCCACTACCCCTTGCGCCTCCAAAGGACTGCTGCCCAATGACAGCGCCGGTGGTCTTGCAGTTGGTATAAAAGTTACCCGCCGCATAGCGCAGCGTGTCCTCGGCCTTGCGGGTCGCGTGGCTGTCCGTCGCGAAGATGGCGCCCGTCAGCGCGAAGCCGCCGCCTTGCTGATCGATGGTAGACAAAAGCGGCTCAAAGTCCTCGTCCGGATAGACGTACGCGACCAGCACGGGGCCGAACAGCTCGCGGTCGAAGAGCGGGTGATCGACGTTCTTGGCAGAGTAGATCGTCGGGGCGATATACAAGCCCTGGCTGGGATCGTAGGTGCCTCCGACGACCAACTCGAGCTGGTCGTCCTGGTTGGCCGCGTCGATGGCGCTGGTGATCTTGTCAAAGGCCGTCCGGTTGATCACGGGGCCCGTGAAGCTTTCAAAGTCCTCGGGTGGCCCGACCTTGACGGCGGCCAGCTCGTGCTTGATTTGTGAGAAGAACTCGGAGGCGCGGCTTTGGGGGATGTAGATCCGCGAGCAGGCCGAGCATTTCTGGCCGGCATACTCGAAGGATGCGCGGATCGTGTGCTTGACCGCGTTGGGGATGTCGGCGGACTGGTGGATCAGGTGGAAGTTTTTGCCGGACGTTTCGGCAACGAGGCGTGGGAAGTCGCGATATTTTCTTTGCCGAACCCCGTCGGCCACGGAGCCGTACAGGTGGCGAAACACGTCGGAGGAGCCTGTGAAGTTGATGGCCGAGAGCGCTGGATGCGCGAGCGCTACTTTGGTCACCATTTCGGCGTCGCCGCCGATGAATTGGATGACGTTGGCAGGAAGGCCTGCCTCGCGCAGAATCTTGTACACCAAGTAGCTTGCGTAGATGTTGGAAGGGGACGGTTTCCAGAGGACGACGTTGCCAAGCAAGGCCGGCCCAGAGATCAGGTTGCCACCGATCGCGGTAAAGTTGAAGGGCGAGATGGCGTAGACGAAGCCTTCTAGTGGACGCCAATCTGTCCGCCTAGGGAATTCGAATAGTGAGTACTTGATACTGTCAAAGTACTGGGATGACAGAACTCACCCTGCTTGTCCCCGCTCGTTCAGTGTAGGTTGCCTGGAATAGATCTCTTCTGCGTATGAGACATTGAACCGGAAAAAGTCTGCTAGCTCCGCGGCGGCATCAATCTCGGCCTGCCACGCGTTCTTGCCCTGGCCGAGCATGGTAGCAGCTATGATCTCGAATCTGTACTTTCTGGATACAAGCTCGGCGGCGCGTAAAAAGATGGCTGCTCGATCCACAAACGGCGTGTCTTGCCATGTCTTTTTGGCTTCCAGGGCAGCCTCGATTGCGGCGGAGACATCGGATTCTGTTGCAGGGGTATATGTCGCAAACACGGACGAATGTTCGGCTGGCATGTATGTTTCTACAACAGCCTGGCTTTGCTGTGCTGCGACCTCCTCTCCATTTCGTATTGTCGGCACTTGGACCGGGAGTCTCGGTCTCAGCTCCTGCAGCGCAGCGATAATCTTCTCTCGCTCTGGCGACGACGGGGCATAGTGCAGCTAGATCGGCGTCAGCGGACTGCTCCGACGATTGGGACATCCCTCGCTAACGTTCGGCTCGTTGAAGGGCTTAGGAGTCTTGTAGTTCCCAGCGGTCGAAAGCGGCCTCCTTGCTATCTGCGATCTTTGTGACCATCTACTGAGGTTGCTAGGTCGTGATACTGCTCGGGCACAGAATCTGCTGGTCTGAATGGCGGCAGGAGCTGTCATTGTGCTGGGCAATGGCCGTGAAGTGAGGAAGAATATGCGCCGCGTAATGCGCAATTCGGTCCTGAAGTTGACGTCGGGTATTTATGACCAACGCTCGTGGTAGAATGATGAAGTCGTCCATTTTCTTTGAAGATCCGTCCATTTCAATGCGAGAGCACAGTGTAGCCGATCAAGATGTGACACGGGCTTCGTGCCCGACTGCAACTACAACATCGGAGATTACCGTTGAGCGCGGACCCTCAGATCCAGGTACCAGAATGGATTTCATCCTTTACGGTTTCTCTACCGTTGCGATGAGGGAGTTACGGGATGAAAGTCGGAGTGAGCATGACGGCAAGTATCGGCTCGTGAGATGCATGCTGTCTCGGTATGAACGGACCTCACGATAAGCATCGTCGGATGGGCTGCCGTAGCGCATGGAGCTTTGCCACTACGCAGATCAGCGTCGGGTTTCGAAGGCGAGCCGATGCTCCACTCGAGAAGCTGGCTGTCTGTACTTGCCTGATCAAACCCGATGCTAGCATGCCGCAGCAGCTGGAGGAGCGAGGTTGTGTGAGAGGTCCGAGGTTTCTCTAGTGTACAGAGCACCTATGTAGCTGCAGCGCGAAGGCAGAAGTGCACGAATGCAAAAATGCAAAAGCTGCTAGCCAACCAGAATTGTTCCGTGAATTGTTCCGTGAATTGTTCCGTGAATTGTTCCGTGAATTGTTCCGTGAATTGTTCCGTGAATTGTTCCGTGAATTGTTCCG